GACAGTGCAGATAAATAAATAGAATCAAGAGATAATTAGGAAATGAAAGAACAAAGGCACAAAGAAAAGAAAGGAGGGAAATCTAGGTAACTAGAGGTATGGTGGTGACATCCACTAGTGAAGAGAACCCCAATGTAGAAGCACATTTGGAGAAAATGATGAGATCAGCTTTATAAACTTAAGGAGAACTTGGACAAGTTATTTTGTACCCAGTAGACTACGAAAGTTGAGTGAGATGGTGTCAAAGTTTCCTTCCAAATCTTTTGGTAATCATAGATTTACAGATTACTAGTGAATACTGCTAAGGAACAACTGGTTTTAGAAAATTTTAAAAGTAATAAAATAGTGTTTTTTGAAAAATGTGCTTTGTGAGCAATGTTTAAGAAATATTTGCTTAGAATAATCTTTTGCATGGGCACAGATAACACTAACTTCTAAAATACAGAACACACAGCTTTAAAAAGCAAACAGTGAAGGTACAACATTCCATCTTAATATCTCTACACTTATGAATTCTTTCTGTTCAGAATAAACATACTACTCTATGACAGGTATTTTGATATAGTTTTTGGACTCACTCTAAAAATTTCAGTTGCAGAAGATGAATGGTACTTTGCATTCCTGTTTACTTTTCTTTTATAGTTATTTGCTCATTGGTAACCTATAATAAGGAACACTGGTGGTGCTGTGGTTAAAGTACTAAGCTGCTACAGTTCTTCAAATTACTTCATGGGGTTCTTCTACCCAAAGTCTTTATGTTGTTGTTGTTATGTGCCATGGAGTCGGTTCCAACTCATAGTGACCCTGTACAGAGTTCCCGAGGCTATAAATCTTTACAGGAGCAGAAAGCCTCATTTTTCTCCTGCGGGACAGTTGGTAGTTTTGAACTGCTGACCTTGAGGTTCACAGCCCGATTTGTAACCACTACATTACCAAAGCTCCTTAAAGTCTTTATTGTTGTTGTTAGGTGCAAACAAGTCAGTACCGACTCATAGCGACCTTATTGCCCAAAAGAACGAAACACTGCCCAGTCCTGGGCCAACCTCACAATTGTTGCCATGCTTGAACCTACTGATGCTGCCACTTTTCCAATCCATTTCACTGGGGGGCTTCCTCTTTTTCTCTGACCCTCCACCTTACCAAGCATAATATCCTTCTGCAGTGACTGGTCCCTCCTGACAATATGTCCGAAGTATGAGAGACAAAGTTTGGCCATCCTGGCCCCCAAGGAGCACTCTGGCTGCACTTCTTCCAAAGTGGATCTATTGGTTCTTTTGGCAGCCCATGGTACTTTCAATATTCTTCTCCAACACCATAACTCAAAAGTATCAATTCTTCTAAGGTCTTCCTTATTCACTGTCCAGCTTTCCCGTGCATATAAGGTTATTGAAAATACCATGGCTTGGGTCAGGCGCACCTTAGTCCTCAAGCTGACATCTTTGCTCTACAACATTTTAAAAAGGTCTTGTGCAGCAGATTTGCCTAACGCATATAAGTCCCACCAAACAACTCTTTTTTTTCTCTAATGGGTCTGGGTAAGTGAAGGTGGGGGAAGATACTGATAGGCTATGATTCAGTTGTGAATGATTGTTAACAAGGCTCATTGTAATTGGAAAAACTTGGAAAAATCAATGAGGGAATGTGTCAATTTTACTATTGTGCTGGGTATAAAACGAGCTGTCTCAGAAGCAAAGTGAGGATATTAGGAAGGAAGAGCCAGGACTGAATTGTGCCCTTTGGGCCATGAGATCCCTGTACATTGAACATCTTCGACCAAAAGACAGAAAACTGTGAAAATGGTGGAGAGGCAGAGGAGCAGCAGCAGAACCAAGCACCAGAGCACGAGATGAAGCAGTGGGTTATCCAGCCCACAGAGCAAGTAAAGCTGAGTGACTTTAGGCAGGAGGCTTGTTTGCAGAGTGGGGTACCTACAAAGCACTTATTTGGGCAAGCTAGGTTTTCTGACTCAAGGAGTTAGAGCCTTCAAGTTGAGACATATAGTGGAGTGGTGTGTCCTGTGGGCATTTATCTGCAGCCCTAAAAGAGTTTATAACATTGCCCAGGCTGAAAAAGACCTGCCTATCAGCCTAACTAAGGAGAGGCTCTCCTGACTGGAATAACTGTTCCCTGGACATTTCTGACTCTGCACAATAACCTGTTAAATTCCTTAATAAACCCCATAACTGTGAGTAGGGTGTCTGAGTTCTATGTGATCATTGCATAAATTATTGAACACTGCTGAGTAGAAATTGCTGTGAAGGGTGGTTTGGTGCCATTTTTCATAGCTGCTAACCTTTTGGTCAATATTTTGAACCCACCAGTTTATTCCAGGGAGAAAAGTCCTGGTGATGTGTTCCTGCAAAGATTGGTGTTATTATTAAGTGCCATTAAATAGGTTCTGGCTCACAGAGAACCTGTGTAGGGTTTCCAAGGAGTGGCTGGTGAGTTTGAACCAGCGATCTAGTGGTTCAAACTGACCTTGCAGTCCAGTGTTTTATCCCACAGTGCCACAGCCTAGCAAACACTATGAGGCAGATCTACTCTGACATATAGGGTTGCTATGAGTTGGAATTGACTCAACTTTTCACAGCCCAAAGTAGTGGTTCTCAATATCAGCTTCATATTAGAATTATCCAGTGATTTTTAAAATTTTAATCCTCATGTCCAGGCCACACTGTAAATCAGTTAAATCAGTCTCTAGATATGGGCTGCAGTACAGTCAAGGTTGCAACCCAGCAGCCTAAAACTTACTGAGAAAAGCTTACTGTTTAAAAACAAACAGGTAACTGAGAACAGAGGATCCATACAAGACCACAAACTCACTGATAACAGAAACCAGCCAAATGCTGCTGTCAACACAGGCTTCTGAAGTCAAACCCTCAACCTAGAAATCTGCATACAACAGACTCTTGGCAAGCATCAAATTGGACTTTGTGTTCCATCTTCTCCCCACCAACACTGCTACCACCTTCCATAGTCTTGCAATGTTTGCAGAATCCTGTCAAATGTATGAAAAGTAATCAAGCATCTCAGAAAACTCTGCAGTAGCTGGCAGGGGAATTTCAGGAATAATAGCCATGTCTGATGACCAACAGAGTCCTTAACATACTGTTCATATAACTATGATATTACTGAAACTGGTAAGACTCACCACAGTATTGAGTGTACTGCCTGTGTTGCAGTGTCAATCATAAGCATACTGCATAAGCATACTGCTCCGTGATGAAGAACCCACAACAAAGAGTCTACATGACCCTACATCTAAGTAGGCAGCTAAATCCCTGGTTCCGGATAGACTTAGTGGCATCATAAACCATAAGAGTCCCACTTCCCACCTGTTTATTCATGTACCCTTTAAAACCTAAATGCACCCTGTTAACACCCACAAGTATACTCCAACTGTACTTCTTCCTAGGCGCTGCTGCCCAGGGAGGATCTCTAGATAAAAACTCACCTACTTGGTTTTTCAATCAGTCCTTCTCTCTAATTTGAGGTGAAATTTTGAACTCTGACCTGGACTGGATGCCCTAAGGAGTTTCCCTGTACAATCTCCCACTTGCTGTCATAATCTAGAGTTTCTGAGGAGGTATAAAATTGAAAATCTTTAGTTCCCACAGGCTTGAAAACCCCTCATATTTTATCTTCTGCTTTGTACTACTACTGCCCAGGAGCCACAAATGACATTATCCTTAAACCTAAGGCCTATAAAGCCAGAATCACAGCACTAGAGGACTCACCTAGGCTGTGCTGTTATGCCCAGAATTCGGGGTCCCCAAAGACCGCCAAGGAGCCGTGACCGATGCAAGTACATAAGGGTTGTTTATTCAAGCTCGAGCCCGGACTCCACCTCATCCGACGCAGCAGATTAGGGATAGAGCCCTGAGCTCTTTGTCTGCAGGGTTTTTATAGAGTTTTCAAACAAGCTCGGGTTTCTCAGCTTTACAATCTTTGGATTGGTTAACAATTGGCAAACTATGAGATGTTACAGTTTAATAGGTCAGGACTGGTGGTCTTTGTTCTTAGGCTAGGGCAAAGGAAAACATCTGGCCTCTGGCCTTGAGCTGCCTGGCTATTTATACATATATCATTTTCTTGGAGCTAGAGGACATGCTAAAGCTTATATACGAAATGGATTCTTCTCTTTGGCCCTACAGTGCAACCCTTACACTTCGATAGCATTTTCGTTAATACTCAAGAACTAACAACCACATTCCATCCATCATTTAATAGTCTATTCTTCCATCAAGGTGTACCATTTCAGAACAATTTACCATTAGCCTTTAGATCAAAACAAAAAATTGCTACGAATTTCATTGTGTCCCCAGAAAATAGGTGCTGTAAATCTTAACTCCTATACCTGTGAACATAATCCCACTTGGAATGCTGGTTTTCTCTACAATGTTAATGAGGCCAGATCAATGTAAACTGTATCTTAAGCCATGTTTGAGATCTAATAGAACAGATGAGACACATAAGAAGGCAGGCTTGGGAAGACTAACACTAACGAATGACCAGGGAGGCCGACCAATCTACAATCTCCAAGGATGGTCACTACATAAACTGGGTGTTCCTCCAGAGCTATTCTCTAGAGCCAATTCCCTTTTCAGAAGACAGTTTCTAGCCTCTTACACTGTGAAAAAATTAATTTCAGTTTGTTAATGCCACTACTTGTGGCACTTCTGTCACAGCAGCAGTAAGAAAATATAAAACAGTTGATCTTCCATATAAACCAGAAATCTGCTTTCTTACCAAAGAGAGAGAAATAAGTCTGACTCTTCATAAGGCCAGACAGTAAATAAGCACAAAGGTTATATTGTAGTCTGGAAAGGGAGGTGGGCTGAGGGTGAAGACAAGCATTTTGGACTTACCCACAGGCCTGGTCATTACAGGAACTGGCAAGAAAATAGAAAGGCATCATTAAATTTGGGTGAGTCTTAGAGTAGGTATGACAGACACATCTATGTGGCCAAATATGAACTCAGGGAAAAAGAGACACTCACCTGCTTACAGTTTCCGCTGTGTAACTCATTTTCTAACGAAAACAAAGATATAAAAATGATTATATAAAAATAATTGGGCTTTTAAGCCAATTATTAAGCAGTAAATAAAATGTATTCCAAGGGAACATGAGTTTCCTAGAATTGTAGAATCCATGTAACTATTCTCCATGACCAGACAAATGGTTAAAACAAGGTACTAAATGCTGCCAGGTTTGTTTTGAGACTGTGGATATGTTGTAACACTCAGTCTCTGTTTATGTGCCCAAAATGCCTGTTTGTTGTTGTTAAGTACCGTCAAGTTGGCTCCAACTCATAGCAATCCTGTATAGGGTTTCTGAGGAGAAGTTGGTTGACCTTGCAATTCAACAAGACCTTGTGGTACAGTGCTTATCCTACAGCACCACAGACAAATGCCTGTGCCCTCTTAAATGGTCACAAATTAACAATTGTTCAGCAAGTTAGAGATTAACCTCCATGGATTTGGAATCAAGTTATTATGTGATTCAACATATATAGTAACTTTCATCCTTGGGCAATACAGACATGTGGATAAAATAACTGATAAGCCTGCTTCCCCAGCAATCAGACAAAATGGCAAATTGTAGCAATAACTGGATTAGTCATCTGGGACATTCTAAAGCAAATTGTTTCTAAACTTCCTCTAAATAGTTTTATTTTGAAATCAATATGATGAAAGGAGAGTAACATAGAACCAGAAGACTTGGATTCAAGTTTTCTTCCCCTTTTTATATAATTGAGTATAGGCAAATCTTTAAAACTCTTTAGTTGTTGTTGTTCTTATTGTTAGGTGACATCCAGTTGGCGCTAACTCACAGCGAACCCATGCACAGCAGAACAAAACACTGCCTAGTCCTGCACCAACTTCACAATTGTTGCTACATTTGAGCCCATTGCTGCTGTACCTGTACCAATCTATCTCGTTGGGGGTCTTCCTCCTTTTCTCTGGCCCTTGGTTTTACCAAACATAATATCCTTCTCCAGTGACTGGTGTCTCCTGATTATATGTACAAAGTATGAGATATGAAACATGGCTTTCCTGGCTTCAAAGAAGCATTCTGGCTGTACTATTTCCAACACAGATTGGTTTGTTCTTTTGGTAGTCCATGGTACCTTCAATATTCTCTTCCAATACCGTAACTCAAATGCATCATTTCTTCTATAGTCTTCCTTATTCACTGTCCAACTTTCACATGCATATGAGATTTTTGAAAATACCAATGGCCTGAGGCAGGCACACCTAAGTCCTCAAACTGACATTTCTAACACTTTAAAGAGGTCTTGTGTAACAGATTTCCCTCATGCAATATACCATTGGATTTCTTAACTGCTGCTTCCATAAGTGTTGATGGTTGATCTGAGTAAAATGAAGTCCTTGACAACTTCTATCTTTTCTCCATTTATATGGATGTTGTTAATTGACCCAGAGGTGAGACTTTCTATTTATTTTACATTGAGGTACAACCCATACTGAAGGCTGTGGTCTTTGATCTTCATCAGTAAATATTTTAAGACTTCTTCACTTTCAGCAAGCAAGGTTTTATCTTCTGCATATAGGTTATTAATGAGTCTTCCACCAATTCTGATGCCACATTTTTCTTCATATAATCCAGCTTCTCAAATCATGTACTCACCATACAAATTGAATAAGTTTGGTGAAAGACTACAACCCTGGAACACACCTTTCCTAATTTTAAATAATTCAGTGTCCTCTAGTTCAGTTTGAACAACTGCCTCTTAGTCTATGAATAGGTTTCTCATGAGCATAATTAACTGTTCTGGGATACTCATTCTCCACCATGTTGTACATAGTTTGTCATGATCCACATAATCAAAAGCCTTTGAATAGTCAATAAAGCACAGGTAAACATCTTTCTGGTATTCTCTGCTTTCAGCCAAGATCCATCTGACATCAGCAATGATAGCCATCGTTCTATATCCTCTTCTGAATCTGGCTTGAACCTCAGGAAGTTCTCTGTCAATGTATGGTTGCAGCCATTTTTGAACCGTCTTTAGCAAAATTTTACATGCATGCAATATTAAAGATAATTGTCTGATGACTTCTGCATTCTACTGGGTCCCCTCTCTTTGGAATGAGCACAAATATGGATCTCTTCCACTGAGTTGGTCAGGTAGTTGTCTCCCAACTTTCTTGGCATAGATAAGCGAGTTCCTCCAGTGCCATATCAGTTTGTTGAAAGATTTCAATTGCTCTTCCATCAATTCCCAGAACCTTGTTCTTTGCCAATGTTTTCATTGCACCTTGGACTTTTCCTTCAGTATCATTGGCTCTTGATCATATGATCATCTTGAAATGGTTGACACTGGGCTATTTCTTTTTGGTAGTGACTCTGTGTATTCCTGACATCTTCTTTTTATACTCTCTGAATCATTCAATATTTTGCACATAGAATCCTTCAGTATGGCAAATCGAGGCTTGAATTTTTCTTCAGTTCCCTCAACTTGAGAAATGCTGAGCTTGTTCTTCCCTTTTGTTATTTTAACTCTAGGTCTTTGCACATTTCGTTAAAATATCTGACTTTGTTTTCTCCAGCTGCCTTTTGAAATTTTCTATTCAGCTCTTTTACCTCCTCATTTCTTCCATTTGCTTTAGAATCTTTACACTGGAGTGCAAGTTCCAGAGTCTCTTCTGATATTCATTTTGGTCTTTTCCTTCTTTCTTGACTTCTTAATTACCATTTACTTTCTTCCTCTGTAATGTTCTTGATGCCATCCCACAACTCTTCTGGTCTATGGTCTTTAGTATCTAATGCATTAAGTCTGTTCTTCATGTGATCTCTAAATTCAGGTGGAATATGTTCAAGATCAAATTTTGGCTTATGTTGACTTGTTTTAATTTTATTCAGCTTTAACCTGAACTTGTATATGAGCAATTGATGGTCTGTTCCAGTATGCCCCTGGCTTTGTTGTGGCTTTTTCCAATGATGTAGTCAATTTGATTTCTGTGTGTCCCATAAGTGAGGTCCATGTGTCTTTTATGTTGTTTAAAAAAAGATATTCACAATGAAGTCATCGGTCTTACAAAATTCTGTCATGCGATCTCCAGCATTGTTTCTATTACCAAGGCCATATTTTCCAACTATTGATCCTTCTTCTTTGTTTTCAACCTTGTCATTCCAATCACCAGTAATTATTAATAAATCTTGGTTGCATGTTTGATCAATTTCAGACTGAAGAAGTTAGTAGAATTCTTCAATTTTGCCATCACTGGCTTTAGAGGTTTGTAGGTAAATTTTAGTAGTAGTGGTATTAACTGGTCTTACTTGTAGGTGTATGGACATTATCCTATCACAGACAGTGTTGTACTTAAAAACTGATCTTGATACATTCTTTTATATGATGAGTGTGATGCCATTCCACTTCAACTTGCCATTCCCAGCATAGTAAAACCATGTGATTGTCATATTCAAAATGGCCAAAACCAGTCCATTTCAGCTCACTAATGCCTAGGATATCCATGTTTATGCGTTTCATTTCATTTTTACTATTTCCTATTTGCCTAGATTCATATTTCATACATGCCATGTTCATATTATTAATGGATGTTTGCAGCTGTTTCTCTTCATTTTGAGTTGTGCCCCATCAGCAAATGAAGGTCCCAAAGATTTTACTCCATTCTCATCATAACAATCAACTCTAGTTTGAGAAGGCAACTCTTCCCCAGTTGTATTTTGAGTGCCTTCCAACCTGATGGGCTGGCTCATCATCTGGCACTAAATCTGACAATATTCTGGTGCTCTTCATCTTGTTTTAATATTCAATATTCTGGTGCTGACAATATTCCACTGCTATTCATAAGGTTTTCAGTGACTAGATATTCAGAAGTAGTCCATCTCTCCTTCTTCCTAGTCTGTCTTCATCTGGAAACTCAGCTGAAACCTGTCCACCATGGGTTACCCTTCTGGTATTTAAAATACTCGTGGCACAGCTTCCAGAATCACACAAGCCACCATAGTACAGCAAAATGACAGATAAGTGGTGGTAGGCATCGACTATATGGTAGCCAGTAGTACAAAGAACTTTTAAAAATGACAGAGGAAAAACATGCAATACTTTGAATTAAACTGTGAGATAACATAAATAAAAAAAATTTTCATTTTAAAACAAGCAAAAGCTTGTACACCTACAAAATTTGTACTCCTTTATAAATCTGGAAATTTGTCTTGAGTTTATCCATGTTTATTAGACCATCCTTCTTTTCCTCAGATTATCATCATTTAATGAGCTCACCCTAGAACTGAAAGTTAAAAGAAAATAATAGCATACTAATCCTGCTGTAGTGCTGGTGGGCATTTCAAACCCACCAGCCACTCCTTAGAAACCCTAGACAGTGTCTCTGTAAGTCAGAACTGACTCAATAGCACTTAACAACAACAACAACTAGATATTTTTTAAAAGGAGCTATTTTAGCATAGTGAGTTACAAGTTAGGTTGCTAACCACAAGGCCAGTGGTTCAATCTACCAGCCATTCCTCAGAAGAAAGTTGAGAGTTTCTCCTCCTGTAGATACCGACCAGCTGCTCCTTGGAAACCCTATACAAGGTCTCTATGAATCGGAACCAACTCAACAGAACTTACCAACAACAATCTGACTTAGGGAGCCCTTGTGGGGTAGTGAGTTACGCATCAGGCTGTTAACCACAGGTTCGGTGATTTGAATCCACTGTCGTTCATGGGAGAAAGATGAGGCTTTCTGCTCCCATACAATTGACAACCTCAGAAACCCTATACAGTGTCACTATGAGTTGGAACCAACTCAACAGCACACAGAAACAAGCAACACAATCTGATTTAAGGAAACTCAAATTAAAACAGCTGCTATGCAATCAGTAATTCTTTTCTCAGTCCCTGTAATGTATATGGACTACCGGTGTGGCACTGTAGGATCAGCACTGGACTTTGAACCACATAGTTGGCAGTTCAAACTTACTAGCTGTTGCTCAGAAACCTTACACAGTCTGCTATGAATCAGAAATGATTCAACAGCACTTAGCAACAACAACTAAGGTATATAATACTTAAAATCAGTATTCAAAATACATTTTGCAAACTTTCTAAATTGCAGCAAATAGGAAAAGGCACTGTGGGTATTGCTTATTGTTATGTGCCATGGAGTCAGTTCTGCCTTATAACGACCCTGTACAGGGTTTCTGAGGCTGCAAATCTTTACGGAAGCAGAAAGCCTCATCTTCTCCTGCAGAACAGCTGGTAGTAGGTAATGCTTACGTACTATTAATTTACTTCAGCAAACATCTATTGCATATTTACTCTATCATTGTTGTTGTTGTTAAGTGCCGTCGAGTCGGTTCCGACCCATAGCGACCCTGTCATAGGAGTGTAAAAATTAATTATTAGTGACATAATCCTTGCCCTTCAGTTCATAGTCCAGTGGAGGAATTAGTTTATATACAACTAGTAATAATAAAACATAAGTGGTGTGGTGCTGTAGGATCACCACTGAACTGCAAACTACAAGTTTGTCAGTTCAAACCCACCAGCTGCTCCTCAGAATCCCTACACCCTGTATGAGTCAGAACACTTAATAAAAACAACAACAACACTATTAAAGAAAAAATAAAGAAGAAATATGGGCGCTCAAATAATTGTGGGAATTAACTCTGCCAGTCTAAAGGTTGGTTCCTCACAAAGAAGGTGACTTCTGAGCTGAGGACATGAAGGGCTTGAACAGATGCAAAGGGGACCCAGGGTACATCAGACGCATGAACAATCTGCCACATGTATCTGAATAGTTTTATTTTCTTGTTATGAGTTCATGCCTGCTTTATGAAAAGGAGAAGATGGTAATTTGTCTGTATGTGTGCTTAGTTATCCACTGCTATTAATAAACTGATTTCCAAAACAAAGAAAACAAGTAAGCAAATTCATTAATCAGAATCATATTTATACTTGGTTGTTGCTGTTAAGTACCAGTGAGTCTGAACTACTAACCTTGGGCTTAGTAGTCCTGTGCTTATCCTACAGCACCATACCAGGACTTTAATAAACATTTATTCAATAAACGATGTTCTCTATCTTAAATGAAGTCACAGATTGCTGTTATGAAGTGCCATGGAGTTGGTTTTGACTCACAGTGACTCTATATAGGGTTTCCAAGTAGCAGCTGATGGATTAGAATTGCTGACCTTATTGTTAGCAGTTCAGTGCTTACCCTACAGCGACACACCAGGAGTACAGATAGTCACACTGCATTGACAGCAAATAAAACATTAGCAAAAATATTTGACTCTCACAGAATTGCTGAGTATTATTTCCAAATATTTACACTTATAAATAAGATTGAGTTTCTAACCTGGTTTAACAAAGTTTAGTATAAAAGTCAAAATTAAGAATACAACAACTAGGCCACACCCTAGAGCAACTCTCTGAGCTAGCTTAATTGAATGTAAAAGTAATCCAAGATTTTGCTACTTGTTCTTCCCTCTTTCAGACCTTTGCTATGGATATGCATTTCTACAACAGCCAGTCCATCAGTTGCTTGTTACTACACTTACCTTCATGATTAAGCTTCTATGTTCCACTGACTGACTAAAATTTGTACCCATTTCAAATATACTCATGATTCCATCCTCACACATGTTCATCCAGTGACGATATTCCTTATGTCCAGGAAGTCGATCCCAAAAAGTAATAAAGGCTTCCCAGACAGCTTCCTGGCACACTGAAAAAAACAGAAGGAGATGTCTTTATGAAAATTTATACTCTGTATTTCTAGCAAAGTGGTTGACTAGGCAACGCACCACATAGACCCTCTACAACAAAGATATGAGAGACAAAATAAAACAGACATAGATGAAAATTCTGGCACCCTGAAATGCAGAAGAAAGGTTAAAGAGGTGGATGGAATGCTTTTGGCGAAGAGATGCTCAGCAGGAACGGTGAAAGTGGGAGACTGACTAGTGAATGGCTGACCAGACGCCATTCCATCACCTTGTGAGCACCTTTGGTAGGAGAGGGAGGGCTGGCAGAG